AACTTATGATTTTAAACAAATAAATAGTCAAATGAAGTATTCAACCTAAAAGCTATCATTATTTCACGCTGATAATATGTCCAGGCAAAAGGACTACAAACCTGCATGCATATGCCAAAATGAAATTTTTAACTTGATGTAAACCACTTCATGTGAAAGTAAATATAATTGTTGGTCAATGTTTGATTGATGAAGAAACTTAAGAGACCTACTAATCACCCACCTCTATCTGATGAAAGCTGAGTGGAGCTTGTAGCATATCGTTTTTCTTCTTCATAGTAGGTATTGAAACCTAAGATCTCCTTTATCTCTTCAAAAGATGGCATGCTTCCAGGGGGAGGAATGCGGCCTCCTTTAATGGCCATTAGAGAGTCCTGCAAATACATTACAAAAGTTGCTCAACCTTGAGTAATACTTGAAATAATGACATTCCCCAATTAGCTGCTGGAAACGGCTAGCTTCGCCAGTTTGTGATAATTCTATTATCCACAATGATACTAGCATAATTTGCAGCACCTGACTGTATCTAAATATATGAAGTGCAAAATTGCCATTGATAATCAAAAGTATGAATTTTTTTTCGATGAAACCTACATGGTATTGCTCTTTTTCCATTTTTAGGGAGGAGTGTTGGTTGGGGTTAGCCCTTCCCCCAACTATTTTTTTTGTGCTTGCACCACGGACTGGCTTCTTGATAAGCAAGAGCTGGTGATCTAATGGGTAATCTATATGTGTATACAGCAAATGTGATATTAGTCCCCACAGACTCCCTGGCTTATCAAAACAAATGTTGGTCCTAGTCACCAATTTAACAAAAATATGGTAATAGGGTATATAAACAGAAAGGACTCAAATGCGCTAACATAATTTTTATAGGCTATATCGTCTTAAGGAAACGGCAAACTGGAATAACATTTTTTTCTTTTCTGTTGCATGTACAATGACAACAATCAGATCAATGCATATCTCCTTTCCATGTCTTCAACAAAAGTTGGGGAAATTTTATGCATGAGAAAATAGGAAGGTGAAGAAGTGACCTGCATTGCTCGAATAGATACTCCAATCAAGGATAACGGATATGCCACAAGTTTATAGCCAATATCCTCAAGCTCCAGAGGATTAAGTATCGGTGTTTTACCCCCACCTTCCAGCATATTGGCCTACATGAGAAACAAAAGACCCATCAGTTTCTAGAATTTAACTTGTAACTAGAATAACTAGAATTGGGCAGCCCATCATGTTCGGGATAATTTTTTTTATTTGCTCTTTATTTCAATTATTTTATAATTAATTTGGAAACTAATTCTATATATAATCTTGTGCAATTATTTTCCTAAACAAAGTTTGGAATTTTTGAAAATTGCCTCGTTTAAAAAAAGTATAATTTCATTTGAGATATGATGATACTCTTTTATTTTCATTTTCTGTACCTATATATGTTTACGCATAATAACATTATTAGTATTAGCTGAAATAAAGATAAGCTAGAAAGTGAAAGTAATATATTTAAAAAGTTAGAAATATCAAATATTATTTTTTGTTTCTAGAAATTGCATTTATTAATATTTTAAGCATCATGCATACACACACTGCCATAAGTTTTTTCTTTTGTATAAACATATATGAAACTAAGAAAAGAGAATTTTAAAAAATATTTTCGTACATAAAACGACATTTAACATTTTTAAATGCTTTTATAGTAGTTATTCATTTTTCCAATTCCATTATCCTAAGATCTTGAAGGATTTTGAATAAATAACAAATAAATAATTGGCTGAGCAATATATTTAAACTCTACAATACCATATAAAAGGGGCGAATGGCCAATTGATTGATATTTTTTCAAAAATATGTAATACCATTTTTGGAACTAGTGGAGAGATTTCACAGAATTCCTTCATCTCTTCTTTGGAAGCTAGTGCATCAATAAAGAGAACATCTGCTCCTGCATCAGCAAAAGCACGTGACCTCCAGAGTGATTCATCCAATGACACTGCTTGACGAGAATCAGTTCGTGCCACAATTACGATGTCGCAGCCACATTCTTTTCGAGCATCAACAGCTGCTTTTATCCGCATGACTGCTTCCTCTCTAGACACCACTTTCCTGCCACGGGTATGACCACAAGCTTTTGGAGATACCTAACAATTGTAATCTCATAATCAGCAAAAGCCCCAGTAGAAATATCCAAACGCATGATGGCTAGAAATTATCAAATTAAGAAATATTAACAAGAGCAATGGCATTAAGAAGGAAAGCTTAGATGCCTGATAAATAGCACTAGAATAAACTTATTCTAGGATACTACAAAATTAGAGGAATGGAGATGAGAAAGTAGAAAGCTATGACAAAATAGAGGATTAGGAGAAAAGATTAGAGAAAATCAAGGATAAAGATGAAGAATTAAAGGGAGACTTAAATAGAACATGCAGGCTAGAAAGATAAAACATGGAAGAACAAGAACTAGGGACTAAAATCCTTGTAAAATAAGTCCCAGTTCAACATTTTCCACTATTGTCAAGTTAGTAGCCTTTGTACAGGCACTACTCACAACCTAAGATGCACATGAACCCTAACAAATTTACTGGCCGGGTCACCAAAGGGGACCCACAGGAAATATAAATCAGAAGTACAAGGCAAACTGTCGGCAGCAGAGCAACGTTCGAATCCTACACCAGCTTCTCTTTGTGACTTCAGTGCAACCAGATGCATGGAATTCACATTAGACTTTCTGTGACTTCAGTGCAACCAGATGCATGGAATTCACATTCGACTTTCCTTTAGCTTAGTGTCTACTTTTACATTAAACAAGAACTTTACTGTTAGCAGTCTTTAGGATATTAGTTGTCTAATCCTAGATTGGAGGAGAAATGCTCCCTACAATACTTATCCTAATAATGAATAAAGCATTCAAAATTAATTTTTAAAAAAGAGTTATTATCTAGAGATCGTGGGTTCTCTTGACATATCTCATCCATAGGTCCTAAGGACCAGAAGTCTGGCAAACAAGCTTTCCACTTGTTGATGGATTTCACATTCAGTTATCTATGACTCAATCCCAAGATGACCTAACATCTTGGTATCACAGAGGAGCTCATTGGTGATCTTCAATTCTTCAAGTAGAACTCAAGGCGTTCCTTCAGTTACACTAGGAAGACCTCGTGTATGGCCAAGCTGAGACGAAGCATGATAAGGCACTTTTTCATGAACAGCAAAGGGAGCTCATTATTCAGGTCAAAAACTTGTTGAAGGAATTGTATCTTGCCAAATCAAACACCACCTATGCGGCTGAGGCCAACTCTCATCGACACCGAGACAAGTGGCTGGCTAGTCACAAGTGATGGAGACATAGGACCCAAATTTGCAAAGCTCGAATCTTCAAGTTTTAATGGCAAACAGATCGATTGAGATGGTTGAACAGGTATGAACATTTCAAAGAACCTCTGGAAATGATAAAGCTAGGGCTTACTTCCTTCCACTTGGAAGGGGATGCCCACCTCTGATTTTTGAATCTTTGTCACCTTCCTACATAGCCCATCCTACATAGCCTCATGTATGCCCTAGTGATTTTTGCATCCATTTAATAAATTTGGCACCATGCAGGTAAGCTCCAATATTAGAGAATGATTCTCTAATAATTGTGTCATACGTAATTGTCTTTTGGGTATAATTCTCCTTCAATTCAGCAAACCTTACTTCTTGGCAAGATTCCCACCTTTATTAAAATGGAATTCAAATCTCCTAAAAAATTAAATTGAGCACTCTACGGGGTTAGGTTGAAATGACATTCGAGAACCATTCTGAATCGCTACTCAATCTCATCTACTGATTTTATTGGCTTCCTTTCCTTAGATGTAACTTTTCCCCCCTAAGCAAACACCTCTAGATCTCCGACAAGGTTGTCAGCTTATACCAATCCTACCTTCTAGTGCACAAAACCCATTCCTCTTATGACCACCAACAAATTCTAAAAGAGCTAGTTTACCCTATAGATTCTTAAGAATTTCAGTGAAGAAGTATCTATTAGACTCCAAACAATACTTGCTAGATATGAGCATTCTGGGCAAGCATATGAGAATAATGATTTTCAACCACTGTACTCTCTCCTTAACCAATGAGATTTGAAACTCCTTACTTTTACAATGTTCAGAGACTACCAGACTAACAAAACTAATGGCTTCATCCCTTGAGAATAAAACATTTAGTATCTACAGAGAAATCACTAACATCTCTAAGGATCGACCAAGTTGAGAATAATTTTTTTTAGTGGCAATCTATCTATCAAGCTCATCCATGCCGAAAATTTTTCTTCCCATCCATGCCGAAAATTTTTCTTTCTCCTTCTATTTCGAGTTACGCTTCTCAGCCCCATTCCATTTTTCTTTCTCGATAGCATAGCCTTAGTCCATCAATTTTGGGCCTACCTTTCTTAGCAACCTGCAAGCCTGTACTAAATGTAGAATTTTTGAAATTTAAATTTCACCCATTCCAAATGG